CAAGCTAGACATAACAGGACACAGGTGATCACAATCAGGGCTGAACACGAGGTAACGAGGTGGGCGTGGCACACATCAGGAGCAGACGGAGCAGGGTGTGACAGTATGATCTTAGTAGTATTATATATTTTTATTATTATATTGTTGCTTGTATAATACTGTGAAAACATCACAGTTATGGAAAACAATAAAACATATATATGTATTCTTGTGTTTCTCCACAGGTGATAGAGACTGTCAGTGCCATTGACAAAGATGACCCAATTAATGGACACGTTTTCATCTATAGACTGGCATCAAACAATCCAAATTTTACAATAAAAAACAATATAGGTAAATTGTGGCTGTTCCATCAGCATGCATTGTGATATTTATAGTTCCAGTTATATCAAAGGACACACAGTAGGTCATTTCACTTGATGTATAGAAAGGCGTAATTTCAGTGCAGCAGATGGTACTCAATGTGTTTGCTAAATACCATAATTGGAAGGCTAAATTAATGTTTTTGTCCTCTATTACACATGCTGGAGGTTTTGTCCACAACCTGATGGTGCATTATAATTTCTAAGGAGCTCTCAGCAAAAAAAAAATATCTTCATTTGGCTCCTTCATCTGCTATAAAACCCAAAGGGAAGTGACTACTTGTTTTATTGGAATCTGACTGTTAACCCACATTACTTCCTCTTTCCACCCAGGTCAATTTGAGAAAGATGTAAAACTTTATAACTTTTATTTAAAAATGTTTTGAATGAGACACCTGTTGGGTAAATGAGTGTGTAAGAATTTAATGCTAGAGAACATAATTACACTTAAGTCTGCCTGTGACTCGTAACAGAGTTTGTCATACAGTATTGTCTACTAGCAAACATATTTATCCATACAGTAGTTAATCCACTGTTATTGCTATTGTCTATCCCATTTTTCATTTGCTATATGGAATGCTTGGGGGATAGAATGCCCTTGATAATCATTAATTCAAGATGAAGCATCATGTCATAAAACTCTTAAAACAATGCAATTGGGAAGCAAATTATAATATCAGTGGCTTCCTGTAATGTCACTGGAAACACGTCTAAAGCTTATGAGCATGCTGTGAATATTAATGTGGGATCATATCAACAACTAATCTTCAAAGCTTATGCAGAAAGTGTGCAGGTCTTGATTTGAAGGGGAAAAAATATCTGACAGTCGAGGTTGGTTTAAGCAGATATATTATTCATTGTGCTTGTCTTTGTTGCAAGGCGAAGGTAATAATTTCTGATATCATGAGATCCTTGTACTGTCATGCTCCTTAGCAAAGGGTCAGGGCTGAGACATCTAGGGATTATGGAACCTGTTTCAAAGTCCCACGGAGCAGTGTGTGTCTGACAGGCGGTTAACTGAATTAACAGATGGAGAGCTCTAAACACTTGTTCTTTGAAGGTTGGTTCACAATATTTCCTTGCATTAAAATATTTTTATCTTAAAGTAACACTTATTTCCCCCGTGACGGGTTGGTGCCCCATCCTGGGTTATTCCCTGCTTTGACCCTGTACATTCCGGGATAGGCTCCGGACCTCCTGCGACCCTGAATAGGACAATAGGAATAGGTTATAGAACGTGTATGAATGTATAACACTTATTTTGAAATATGCTTTGGAATACATTTTGGCACTTGACCAGGGGAACTTCAGTGCAAAACCTAGAGTACAGAACGTGATGGTGATAAAACAGAGAAGTTTATATAAGAAAGCTATACTGTTTTGTCACCAGCTGAAGTGGTTATGGTGAACTGTCAAATGGTTATAATAACAATTGAATTATTTGTTCAAACCCAGGTATATACTGTTGTTAGATTCTGCATTTAAAGTTACATAAAATTACAATCAGCAAACTGAATAGCCTTATAGAACATTATATTATTATTAAGAGATGTATTACTTTTGAGCTGTTTAATCCCTCAATATGACGAATATCATTCTAGTGGGTTGGAAACTATGGAAACATCTAAGATGTGGGATATATTACCTGTGTCAATTAATTTTGCAGTATGACGTTAAATGTGCTAATTTATCCATTTTTTCGCAGTCAAAGTCTTCCTTTACCAATTTTCTAACATATTCTCTACTGTTCCACCTAACATACTTACCATACAGAAACTAATCTGTACCAATGGAGGATTAAAAAAATATTTTAATTTTGTCAGACTTATGGGATTACACTGGAGTCTGCAGTCTGTAAAAATGTGCTTTGAAGTGGGTATGAGGAACCAAATAATAAACTCAGATCTATCAATGGTACTTTACTGTAATTTACCTGAAACATTGTATTTTATGTGTCACATGAAGAGAAATTCTAAACACATTTCTTAAATGCTATTTTTCCAAAAAATCAATTTTTAGAAGAAGCATTTTTTGGAAGTTGTAGGACATCAAGTAACATACTAGCAAATGAAGGTTGTGTCATAACATCATGATAATGTTTTAACAGCTTAATATCCATTATGTATGCATTTGTGGAATATTGTGCAGTAATTCTATTGCCTCATAAAAATACTTGGACATTGAAATCATGCAAATTTGTATCTAATATAAGAGTCTTAACCAGAGAGTAGTACTAATGTAAAAGAATATAGATTAAGCTATTTTGACAAATTGTGCAAATTGCGGCTGGCACATTTTTATAACTGTTTCAAGTGTTACAAAATGTTGTAACATAATATATAGTTGTCAGTAGACTATCAAGTGTTTTGGAAGCCATAATTTGCTGTATCACTTTACTGTATTGTCTTTTACCTTTTCAGACAATTCCATAAGCATTCTAACAAAGCACAACACCTTCCAGCGGCAAAAACAAGAAATGTACCTCCTACCCATTATCATCAATGACAATGGAAACCCTCCAATGAGCAGTACTAACACACTTACTATACAAGTGTGTAGCTGCAGCAAGGATGGCGCCATCCAGTCCTGCAACGTGGAGGCCTTTATGCTGCCTATTCGACTAAGCATGGGAGCCTTGATTGCTATTCTTCTCTGTGTGATCTTATTTTTAGGTATGTCCCTACAAATTATTTTCCTTACATGTGATATATATTTCAAGAAAGATTTATACAAGTTTATATATGACACACACAACAATTTGTCCACATAATTACAGACAGTGCAACGGTTTTCCAATGGTATCTAACCCTCTTACTGTTGTTTTGATATGCAGTCATAGTTGTGCTTTACGTGACACTCCGTAGCCATAAAAATGAAACGCTGATTGTTAAAGATGAAGACGATGTCAGAGAGAACATTATCCGATATGATGACGAGGGTGGCGGTGAAGAAGACACGGAGGCCTTTGACATTGCCACTCTGCAGAATCCCGATGGGATCATCAGCTATCTGCCAAGAAAGGATATCAAACCAGACCTACAGTTCATTCCCCGGCAGGGTCAAGAATCTGGTTCCAATGGTGTCGACATTGATGCATTCATCAGCACGCGGCTTCATGAGGCAGACAATGACCCTACAGCGCCCCCTTATGACTCCATCCAGGTCTATGGTTACGAAGGGAGGGCCTCTATTGTTGGCTCATTAAGCTCCTTGGAAACAGCTTCTGCAGACTCAGAACAGAATTACGACTACCTCAGAGAGTGGGGTCCGCACTTCAGAATACTGGGAAAGCTCTACCTGATGTCAGACAATGAAAAAGACACTTGACTTGGGATCTTTGAGGATCACAGGTTTGTTTATGTAGTTGTTGTACCAGATTTAATAGGATAAGAAACAGAAAAAGAAAAAAATAAACATTCTAATGTTTTGTGAAAAGTATCACATTCATAATCTTAAAAATCCAATACATTTTAATATTAAAGCAAACTGAATGTGTTTTAGGAGGTTTATGATTCTTGTGGTTTGTAAATTTAGAATCTGTGGAGTGTCTACACTTAATGTTCATTATGGCCGGCAAAAGTTTGAGGACCTAGATGCTTCTTCATCTGGTTGAGGATAGATATCGGCAGTGTGGTATATCATCTGCTGGGAGGTACGGAACTGTGAGTTTCACAGGAGAACCTAAGGAACATTATTTAAAAAAATAAAAAAATTAACAATATAACAAGCAAAAAACAGCAAAATTTCACTTTCATTGAAATGCATATGATATAAAGAATAATAATTATGCTGGATTTAATAAACGTAATGTAAGGTATAATTTCATATTGTAATAAGCAGCATATTTGTTAAACTGGAAAAGCTGTTTGGCTTTCTTTATAGAATAGTTTGTATTCACCTATTATGAGTGTGTTTTGCACATGAAAAGTGTTGCCTATATTGAGTAAATGTAACTATTATCAGTATAAAGGAAAAAATGAGGCCTTTTTTTGTAAACAACCAAGCTACTTTTTCTCTTGAGAAAAAAACATAATAGTAGTAATTTGTTGTTTTTTTTGCTGACTTCAATAGACTGGATGTTTCTTTTAATCTGATTGAATTTGCAAATGGTTAGAGTTACATGCAGTAATATTAATTAAGCACAAAATGTGAAATATGGTTCTGTTATAAGAAACCTGTACATTCAATAATTAATGCATGAAACACGTGGTAAATAATTGAATATGTAATGTTACAATCCAATACATACTTATTGGCCTGTATTATAGTAGACAAATGACATGTGAATTTCCTCTTTGCTTTTATTAGGTTTTGTTTTTCTAACGTACATGAAATACTGAAGCTGTATGTAAACTCACTTTACACTGATGCATCTTCTTACAATTGCATTAGACCTTTATATATGTTCCTGATGTTTTGTGTTTAACCTAAAAATTAGTATTATTAATGATATAATCTATGTATTGCAATTATATATGTGTACTGTTTCTTATTTTGTAAAATATATTTTTTATAAAAACTGCATATGGTGTTTCTGTTTAACTCAGATATAATTTGTCAAACATCACTAAAGCTGTCTTACAGAATACTACTTGCTTCCTGGCCATTTGGCTAAAAGTGGACCACATATTAAATAGATTTTTGGAACAGGGAACCTGAAGAGAGGGGGTTTGCCCTGTCCACAGCATGCATCGACCGAGTATTGCAGGGTCATCCTTTTTGGGGAGTGGTGTGTACCCCAGCAGGTTAGGCCTCTGGGCCTATGAATGGAAGTTTGAATTCCATGCTCAGCAAAAGAGTCACATTGCTGGTAGGCCCTTAACACCCCGAAAAATCTGGGATAATTGACTAACCCTATGCTCTGAGCCCAAGCTTTGCTCTCTCTCCTGTATATTCACTGATCAGACATAACATTAAAACCACCTGACTAATATTATGTAGGTCCCCCTTCTGCCACCAAAATAGCTCTGAACCATCAAAGTATGGACTTTACAAGACCTGATTAAGTCCAGCAGTATGTAGCAATAAGACATTAGCAGCAGACTGCTTAAGTCCTGTAAGCAGGGTTCTTGCAAGTTTCAGTAAGTTAAATTTAAGACCTTTTAAGACCATTATGAGTAAAATTTAAGACCAACATGATGCATTACTAAAAACATTTGAATGATACCAGAAATTCTCATATTTTATGTCACTCATATCCTTAGCCCAACATCCACATATCATATGTGTTTACAAAGTGTGTTTTAATAAGTTCACATGTATTTAAAGCATGTGGGAGTGGTATTTTAATGCTTAAACTATAAAAAAAAACTTTATATATATGGTCTTTCTATATCGTGGATTTTCACCTATCGCTGATGGGTCTGGAACGTAACTTCCGCGGGAAACCTGTGTAAGTTGTGAGGTGGGGCCTCCATGGATTGAACTTGTTTGTCCAGCACATCCCACAGATCCTTGGTCGAATTGAGATTTGGAGAACTTGGAGGCCATAGTCAGCGCCTTGAAATCTTTTTCATGTTCTTCAAACCATTCCTGAACAATTTTTGCAGTGTGGCAGGGAGCATTATCCTGCTGAAAGAGGCCACTGCCATTAGGGAAATACTGTAGCCATGAAGGGGTGTTCTTAGTCTGTAATAGGGGCAGTGTGTGGCTCAGTGGGCTAAGCCTGGGTGCCTGTAATCACAAGGTTCCTGGTTTAAACCCAGCCTCAGCACTTCTGTGGGTCCTTGATTAAGGCCCTTAACCCCCAGCTCCCTGGGTACCACTATGGATGGCAGCCCATTGTGGTCAACTTACTCTGTAAAGAGCAAGTTGAGGGAGGTGTAAAGACAATTTCCCCATGGGGACAATAAAGTATCTATTATTATTATTATGTATAGGTACATGTCAAAGTAATGTCCACATGAATGCCAGGACCCAAGGCTTCCCAGCAGAACATTGCCTAAAACATCACACTGGCTCCACCGGCTTGCCTTCTTCCCATAGTGCATCCTGGTGCAATCTCTTCTGCAGGTAAATGATGCACACACACCCGGCCATCCATGATGTAACAGAAAATGTGATTCATCAGACCAGGCCATCTTCTCCCATTGCTCCATGGTCCAATTCTGATGCTCGCATGCTCATTGTAGGGGCTTTTAATTCAATTCTATTTATATAGCACTTCTAACAACAGTCATTGTCACAAAGCACTTTACATATAACCAGCCCAAACCCCCACCAAGCAAGCCTGAGGTGACAGTGGCAAGGAAAAACTCCCTCTAGCAGGAAGAATCCTTGAGAGGAACCTAGACTCGGAAGGGGACCCCATCCTCCTCTGGGTGACCGGGGAGCATGAAATTGTATTGACATTGACATTAATTTCAGTCCAAATAGTTTTAAAACTCCCAGTTGGTTACATGTAATTATCTCCAAGGAGTCCAAGTGAGGGTTCAGGCGGTGTAGTGTCAGCTCGGGATCAGCTCGGAAAAGAGAAGATGAAGAAGAGTGTTACTGCCCTACACCTAACATAACCTCCGGCTAAAGTACTAAAGTAACTATGACAGCCTGGCTAAAAGAGAGACCTGGAAGGAAGCACAGACATGAGGGTTTCTAGGGGTTTTGCCATCAAGCTAAACTACCATCAACAACTTAAGTGATCGGCGAGAGTGGATGACGATAGCACCAATGCCCCCTTCCACCTTTAATCTCAAATGACCATGAACCTCCAGATCTCCCATTCACCTTAAAAAAGGGGATTTTAATATACAAAAGACTGACTAAAGAGGTAAGTCTTAAGCCTTGACTTAAAAGCAGATATTGTTCCGAACACTAATAGGAAGTTTATTCCATAACTGTGGTGCTTTATGAGCAAATGCTCTTCCCCCAAAAGTAACGTTCTTTATTCTGGGTATGAATAGACGACCTGAAGCATACAAGTCACTCGGAACCAGGGAGCTGCCGTCCTTCGCTATGGAGACGGCGCAATCTCCCTCCACAACCACCCGCCGGAAGAAAAAGAAGAGGCTGAAAGAAAGGAGAGCAGAGGAGGTACCAACGCTCTTCTTGGGAGCGTGCTCATTCTCTGCTGCCGTCACCCCGGATGTCACCACCGCCGCCTGTCTGCAGGGACTCCTCACTAGCCCCGCGGGTGAGATGCCACCCCCTATGGCGGCTTATCATTTCCGGGCAGCACACCTGGCCCACAAAGGGGCCAGTGCGGAGAGAATCAATTTCCCGGGTCTCTAAGGCTCTTAAAGGGTCGACGCCCGCTTTCATGGCGCCTATCCTAGCGGCCTTAATGGATGCATCTGTCCTGCCTGTTCCTGACCTACCTGTGCCTGTCTTGGTGGCGCCTCCTGCTGGCCACACGCCCGAGGTGCCCGCTGCGGCGCCCCCTGCTGGCCGCCTGCTGCCTCACGGGAGGCCCTGACTCCAGTCCCCCCAGCTCAGATCCTAGTCCCTGACAAGACAGGCAAGACCTGACAAAGGACGGGGAACGCAGACAGGCATATGGAAAAGGGTGACACGGAGGGAACACCCACAGGCGACACGAAGGGGCGAGTAGTGAACGGAGGAGGAACAGAGGGATGAGGAGCAGAAACAGGCGGGACAAAGGGAAAGGGAGGAGGAACAAGAGGAGCCCGAAGGAACCCAGACGGGCGACGGCCAGTGGCCGGAGGGGCCGCAGGCGAGAGGGAGGAGGGAACTTCTTCCTGCTGCTCTCGATCTCTCCCCTGCTTCACTTCCTGGTTGATTGCGGCGGAAGGTGGAGCCGGCTCCGATGCCTCGTCCACGCTCCGAGCAACGCGCTCCGCCCGTCGTTCGGTGAGCCGGCACTGCAGGCGATGGAGGCATTTCCGAGCCTTGGTCAGTGGGTACTCCTGCCCGGCTGGGCGCTCCGCTGACAGGAGGTCCACGCCCCAGCTGGCCAGCCTCAGGGCTGCGGGGTCCTCCTGGACCTTCGGCTGGGAATGCCAGTACACAAATTCCTGCAGCAGAACGAGCCGGTGGTGCTCAGTCTGCTGCTTTGTGCTTTCGGAGAGACTTGTCATTCTGTCATGTAACGGCTTGCAGGCGAACGGGAAAGCAGGTCAGCCAAGCCAGGAAGTCGAATAAAAGGGGTTTTATTCGTGGACAGGACCGGGGGAAGCACATGTACAAACATCAATGACAAGTCTGGGGAAGACTGACTCAGACAAGGACTAAATCACAAGACAAGCTTAGGGTAATGAGCAACAGGTGAGAACAATCAGGCAGAAACAGGAGGTAACAAGGTGGGCGTGGCACACATTAGGATCGGACGGAGCTGGGCGTGACAGTCTGCATTAGCTACTCTAATTCAATACAAATTAAATTTTAAAAAGACCTGTTCGACATGCTGATAGATGAATAATGGTGCTCGGGAGTAGCCTTCGCTGAAGCTCGGGCTCTCCGACTATGTCGCCGAGTTGTCACCCACTTGCCTTGTTGCATGGGGTCGAATTCCAGAGTTTGGGCCGTGCTATCTAAATCAAAATCTGAAGCCCCCAGACTCCCTGACTGCGAACCTGCAGCCAACTGGCTACCTGGCGACTGTGCTGTCTGGAGGCGCAACTCTAGCTCTATAACTCTCTCTGTCAGAGCTTCTACTGCCTTACACTTTTTACAAATAAAGTTATTGCTATTTAAACTATCATTGCTGATGGATGAACTAAGGCTAAACATTCTACACTCACTACAAAACACAACATCACCATTATCCATCTTACCTAAAACAAAATCTCACTTACGCTGTTGCTTCTTGTGCAGATTCGCTAAAGGTTGAAGTTGGTTCTTGTGTCGTTGGGGGAATATGAAGAAGAGTTGCTGTAAAGCCCGTACGTTCGGGCAGAAGGAGCCCAATAAGCTTGAAGACCTTTCGCGGAAAATTTAAAAGTCTAATCGATCGTTGGTCTTTTCAAATTAGAAGTTTGAATTAAAAATGAATATAAATGCAATTGAAATTCTGAAAGGAAAAGAGTTTGGGATGCCAACCAGCATGGCGCGTCTCGTACAGAGACTACCGAGAAGCAGGAAGTGACGTCACACAATACTTTTGGCAGTGGACAGGGGTCAGCATGGGCACTCTGACTGGTCTGCGGCTATGCAGCCATGTACGCAGCATGCTATGATGCACTGTGTGTTCTGGAACCTTTCTATCATAGTCGGCATTAACTTTTTCTGGAATTTGTGCTACAGTATCTCTCCTGTGGGACTGGACCAGGTGGGCTAGCCTTCGCCTTAGACACTCATGACCCCATCAATGATTCACCAGTTGGCCTTCATTGAACTACTATTGATAGGTTTTGACCACTGTATACTATTAACAACCCACAAGACCTTCTGTTTTGGAGATGCCCAGACCCAGTCCTCTAGCCATCGCAAGTTGGTCCTTGTCACTCAAATCCTTACGCTTGCCAATTTTTTCCTTGACCACTAACATACTATGTTTGGTTAATCAATACCTGTGA